CTCTCACTTAGTAAATTTGCTAGCTTGCCCTATATCTCATAATTGTGATTTTCAACCTGGCCTTTACAATAATTAATTAATTAATTTACTAATTTATTTTACGAAAGAGGGAGTGTACGTTAAATTGAAGAGTATTTTAGATGTTACCTTAGGTTGGATGTTACCCTTTGAGAAGATCTTTGCCAATGAAATCTGTAAAAGGGCTCCTTTTTTGTATTTTCAAATACATTCTTTTTTTTGCAGAAATTAGGAATAAGTAATTATATGTGTGATCAGAAGAGCCAAGTACCCCATGCTTTATCTACAATCTATAACATTTTGAATGTCCCATTAACATCCGATCTTCCATATTACACTAGACTTTGGGAGATGGATTTGGGGCGTAACTTTACAAACTTATAATGGTGTACAATTTTTTAAATAAATCAAAACTGTTCTATTGATTACAAATTTTAGGAACTTGGGTATAAAATCATCTCTAGATGGTTTAGAGCCCCAGCGGACATGCATAGATTCTATCCATCTTTGTCCAATAAATGTTGGCGATGTTTAAGAGGAAGGTAGTTTATATCATATACGGTGGATATGTCCTGCCATACAATTATTTTGGAAGGTGGAAGGTATCCTAAAAAAAGTAAGTAGGTTTCAGATCAAATTGTCACCTGCACTTATTTTGTTGTTTCATGTTGATAAGAACTGGCAGGGATTTGTGGGTTCTCTTGAGATAAGACTTATTAATGCTGCAAAAGAAAGGATCACAGCTTATTGAAAAAGAAAGACAAATCCACCATGGAAAGAATGGCTTCACAGAGTTAATAATATCAGATGGATTGAACAACTAGCTTATAGGGGAAATAGAGTAGGAGACCATATTAGGAGATGGGAACCTTGGGAGAGATTCCTTATTGGTTCCAAATTTGGTTCAGATCCATTGGATCAAGAGGGTTAGAAGGTGGGATGCCTACATTTTTTTGTGTTTTATATATATATTTTCTTACCCTGGAGTGAAGGTAGATAACATTCAGATGTAGGTTGAGAGGACCAAGGTGGGATGGGAGGGGAGGTGAGAGACAGGTCCTTTTTTTTCTGAAAGCTCTTTCTTTATATTTGTGAAAAATTGAAGATTATGCTAGCTTTAGTGTACAGATAATCTTAATTTTAATAATGACAGGAGGCGAGTATTTTGCATAATCTTTCTTTACTAGCAGCAAAGAAAAGAGTGACAAAACTTTTAACCAATCACAACGTAGAATAGGGTATAAGAGGTGTGACCTATGACATCATTTCCTCTTTAAAAATTGCGACATCACAAGTTCATAAATGTAGAAAATAACAGAACAACTGAGAAGTCCATAGAACAAGAAACTGGAAACTTAATCAGAATAAATTGAACCGGAACAGGTAGAATGCAGATGAAGGCGTCTCCTTGTGAAACGATGGTCTACCAAGACCTGATGATGAATCTCCTGATGCGATGATGACGACATCTTGTATGGAGACTTTAATGATTCCGTGTAGCTTCTGGTTAAGCTGAAACGAGAGTATAAGGTGCGTTAGAGTCCAGAAGTGATTGTATAAAACAAAGGATGTCTGTCCCGTAATTCAACTTTAATATCGTCTAGTAACATGATAATAATAAACTAAACGTCCTCCCTTAGAGGTGTTAAATAAGTATCCCACCCAGACAATATATATATATCTCAATAATGTAAATAAGGCATTTAAACAAGAGTTACCGCGTCAGGTATTATACCAACATATGAGAGAGCAAAGTGTAGTAGGTAGAAGTGAAAATAAAAAGGGAGGGAAGAATGAAAGAGAACAGGGAGGGAAAATACTCGCCTCCTGTCATTATTAAAATTAAGATTATCTGTACACTAAAGCTAGCATAATCTTCAATTTTATCACATGACAGGAGGCTTCGTATTTTGCAATTTCAACGCTGTGAAAGAAAAGCAAATGCCGGATTATCAAGAGGACGAAAGTAGAATGTCCTAAAAGTAGATTCTCTGGTCCAGTCCGCCGCTCGTAAAATGTCCGAAAGGGACGCGCCTGCCGCATAAGCGGAAGAGGCCGCTGCCCCACGAACGGAGTGTGCTCCAAAAGTTTGGTCAATACCGGCAAGGGATAGTAGCCATCTAACCCATCTGGCCAGTGTAGTAACCGAAACCGGACCATAAGGGCGGACGTAAGAGATGAGAAGTTGATGAGTGGGCTGCCGCAACGTCGCGGTGGCTTTCACGTATTGACGGAGGCTTGAGACCACGCAGAGTTGAGGGTCAGAAGGGAAGAAAGGGTAGAAAACCGAGTGAGAGTTGGACTTAGTGTGACGTGAGATCCGAAAGGTGACACCCGCCGGACAAAAGGTAAACGCGTTGGCGTCAAAGGCGCGTACGTCCGCTACCCGTCGAAAGGAAACCAGACAGAGCAGGAGGGTGAATTTTGCGGTAAGCTGGCGGAGTGATAGTTTCTCGTTGGGAGGCCAATTTCGTAAAAATTGAAGGACCACACCAACGTCCCAGAGTCTAGAATATTTAGGTTCCGGGGGGCGCCGTAGGCGCATGCCGCGGAGAAGTCTGCAGATGAGCGGGTCCTTACCAACAGGAATCCCCTGTGTCAGAGTATGAGCCGCTGAGATGGCTGACCGTACCACGTTGATGGAACGGTATGATTTTCCGGCAGTGAAAAGTGAAGTCAGGAAATTCATGATGGAGTGAGTAGGTGCAGTAAAGGGATTGAGGTCCCGTCCCACACACCAACTTGTCCAGGAGTGCCATGCTGATAAGTAGCACCTCCTAGTTCCTGGTGCCCATGAATCCCATAGCAGGTCCTTAGTTTCCTGCGATAATTCTTCGGTTCTCCAGGAACCCCGGAAAGAGTCCAGGCCACAAGGGGCAAGCGTTCCTGCAGGACTAGTGGGTGAGGTAGGCCCAATGGGTTCCTGAGGATGGTTGGGGCCTCTGGTAGGAGGAGGGGATCGTTGATTGAGAATTCCAGAAGGTCCGGATACCATGGCTGGCTCTGCCAGAGCGGCGTGATGAGAATTATTCTCACTCCCTGTAGACGGATCCGGTGAAGGACCCTCATTATCATTGCGAAAGGAGGGAATGCGTAGGCACCGTCCCTTGGTCATTGTTGGAGAAAAGCGTCCGTTGCGAGGCTCTCCGGGTCTGGGAGCCAGCTGAAGAAAACCTCTGTCTGTCGATTGTTGCGGGACACGAAAAGGTCTATGTAGAGAGGTCCCCTCTGTGCATCCAGTAGCGCGAAAATATGAGGGTCTAGCTGCCAATCGCTGGCGTCCCGCCAGTGGCGTGAGTACCAATCCGCCGTCGTATGGGAGTCTCCTGGTAAGTGCTCTGCCAGCAAGGTGATGTTGCGTGGTAGGCAGTAGTCGAAGATCTCTTTCGTGAGATCCGCCAGTGTTCGAGAACGAGTGCCTCCAAGGCGGTTGATGTATCTGACCGCTGAGACGTTGTCCATGCGGAGTAGGATGCAGCAGTTTGATCGGTCCTTTGCCAGGCTGCGAATGGCAAAGGACCCGGCCAAGAGTTCCAGGCAATTTATGTGCATCGAGAGCTCTTCGGAAGTCCAGACTCCTCCTGTGGACGTGGTTCCATCTGTTGCCCCCCAGCCTGAACGACTGGCATCCGATTCCAGCATGAAGTCTGGCTGGTTCCCGAATATGGCCCTGCCATTCCAAGCCTGCATGCAATTCAGCCACCAGTGTAGTTCTTCCCGAACTTCGACCGACATTGGAACCGGTTGGTCGTATGTCGGTTGTCTGCGAAGGAAACTTGCCTTGAGGCGTTGCATGGCCCTGTAGTGCAGGGGCCCAGGAAAAATGGCCTGGATGGATGCGGAGAGACGGCCTACGATCCGTGCCAGTAATCGTAGGGGTATGGTAGTCCGACGAAGGACTTTCCGGATCTCCCTGCGGATTGCTGTAATTTTGGTAGCCGGGAGGTGGAGAGTGCATGATGTGGAGTCTATTACGAATCCGAGGAATTGAACTGATTGAGCCGGGGTCAATGCGGACTTGGGACGGTTGACGACGAAACCCAGAGAGTCCAAAAGGTGTAGTGCGTATTCCGTGTGTCTCCGCAGAGTCTCTGCATCCTCGTCGAAGATCAGGATATCGTCGAGGTAGATGATGCATCTTATGCCTTGGGATCTGATTTTTGCCACTACCGGCTTCATAATCTTGGTAAAACACCACGGGGCCGAGCTGAGGCCACACGGGAGACAGGTGAACTGCCAGGGGATCCCGTGCCAGAAGAAGCGGAGGTAGGGACGGCTGCTTCTGTGTACCGGAATGGTAAGGTACGCATCTCTGAGGTCCAGACGAGTGAACCAGTCGTCGCGTCGAAGTAAGTCCCAGAGAAGATGTATACCTTCCATTTTGAAATGTCGATATACCACGTGAGAATTGAGCTCCCTGAGATTGATAACGGGGCGAAATTCGCCGGTTTTCTTCCTGACCAGGAAGATATTGCTGTAGAAACCGGTGGCATCCGGAGCCGGTTGGATGGCACCCTTGGAGCGAAGTTCTCGGAGTTCCGCGTCTATGAGACGGGCATCTGCCCGTGTAGTCTGGATTGGACGTGGAGGGGCCAGCTGGAGCGGGGTCGAGTCGAACTCTATTCGATAGCCCTTCACCGTTTGGATTATCCACGCATCTGAAGATAGTTCTTTCCAGTTCTGGAAAAAAAGAGAAACACGACCTGCGATATGACAGGGGGTTAGAGGAAGAGGAAGATTCCGACTTACCGTTGGAGAATCTTGCTCGTGAGCGTCCTCGGGTGCCTCGGCCACGATCAGATCCTCTGAATTGGTGGAACCTATTTCGACTAGATGAGTCTGGGTAGAACATCTGCTGAGTCCTTGTTGTACGGGGGCCGGATGGCCAAAAACGGCTGGCGGCACGGCCCCTCTGCCGTCCAGCCCTTCCAAAAACACCACGGGTGTGAGAACCGCGGAAGACTTTCCGCATTGAAGTTTGTGCCTTGTTAAGGGACGTGAATATGTTGACCCTTTTATTTAATTCCTTAAGGAAGGCCTCTCCAAATAATTTACCCTGTGCTAAGGGTCCTAATTCCTTGTCCCCCAGTTCGACCAGTTTTTCGTCGATACGGTAAAGTGCTGCTCGGCGCCTCTCCGAAGAGAGGGCTACGTTGGTGTTCCCTAGGAAACAGAAACACCTTTGTGCCCATTCCCGGGTATCTCGTGCCCATTCACGCACCGTATCTGGGGTAAAAGTGTCAGCCCTCTCATAGGCTTCATCCGCCATATCCATGATTCTGGCTAGTGGCCCAATGGCATCTAGCAGTTTGTCTTGCGCTCCTTTAAAGCCGCGCTCTATGCCCTTGCGCGGATCCCGACCCCCTCGGGACATGAATGTAGTCATGAGCGGGTCAAACTCGGGGGTGTGCGTCACTTTGTCTGGTAGACTAGGGCGAGGGCATTCGGATCTCATCCGGTTTCTTACTTCCTTGTCCAGCGATTTTCTGAGCCAGAAGTGCATAAACCTTGCCAAATGCTCAGGTGGTGACCATTCTTCCGAACGGGGGTGCCGGATGTTTCTTGGGTCAAACATTTGGAGGCCCGAATTGTCGAGGAAAATCTCCGTGCCCTCCTGTGGGTTATCCATGGATGTTGCCATGGAGTCCTGGGGCTCACCCAGACCCTGTTCCCTTATGAAGTAAGGGTCAGAGTTGGCCGTGGAATCCCTGTCGGAGTCCCCTGGTCAGAGGCTGCCGCCTGCCATTCATCCAGCACAGCTAGTGCCTGAGTGGGTTCTACATCTTCCTCACCTGAGGAAAGTTGTGTGGCATCGTGGGTAGCACGAACCGTGGCTTTCCTGCGATCAGCAGGGGCTTTCCCTTTAGACTTGCGTGGGGTTACATTGCCCTTCCAATGGCGTTTTCGCCGTTGGGAGTGTTCCCTGGAAGAGTCGGAGTCTTCGGAGTCCGCCTTATAATGAACCCGTTTAGAGATGGGCCTGGGGACTTCAGAGTCTGTTTGGAGTGACTTGGAAATGGCTTGTTCCATAGCTGCAGCCACGGCTGCTGTTATCATGGCCTGGAGGTCTGAGGTTTGTGATTCCTCCACTATAAGGAATGAGGATTCGGGGCTCACCCGGTAAATTGCGTGAGGGCACTAGGCACGATTAGTGGAGAGGCCTGGGGACCGGGGTGGTATAGTATCAGGACTAAATAACCTGTGGTTAGAGACCGGTAGGTCGTAGGAAGAGGAGATGGCTGTTTCAATGGGGCTCACCCAGGTGATCGGAAACCTGCATGAACAGGACCGTTTAGCAGCGTAAAATGGGGGCTCACCCCGGCCAGAATAAGGTGCAGACCAACTGGCTAAACCAACCCCCAAGTGTAAGGCACTAACCTGGTCCCACTGAGTGAAAAGGGTCAAGGCTTTTCAATTGCTTGCCGGATTAGCTGGAGCAGAAAAAATCAGGCAGTGTCTATCTCTTTAAGATGGCCGCCGGACTGACAGGCTTAGTGTGTGGAGGATAGCACCTCCCCCAGTTTGGGCGGCAAACTGTAAGCTTGCCATTCGCATAATAAAACTGCCGAACGTGCGAATAGAAAATCTATGCGAACTGCCGAACGTGCGAATAGAAATAGATGCGAACGCCTAAAAAGGTGATCGCGTCAAACTGCCGAACGAAGCGTTCGGTTGAAAGAAACGAATAGTCAATGTGCGGTCGCACAGAAAAGACCGCGGGCATTCGTGTCAAACAGGCGAATGCGCAAAACTACCGAATAAAGCGTTCGGTAGAAACAACCGAAAGGGTTGTGCGCGAGCGCACAGAAAAAAGCCGTTAAAAGAAACAGAGAATATGGAGGGAAAGTACAGACGGCGGGGAAGCCGTGAAAGACAGCTAGGGAGCCAGGCAAGGTCCCCTGGTATACAGATAGGTTAAGAGCAGTAATAGGGCAAATATATAAAGGTACAGTGATAGAACAAAAGGCATGTAAATGAATAAGTTGTATGTAGAATAGATAACACAAAATTTAGTACTTAACTTGTGATGGAGCAGCAAAGAAAGAAGAAATGATGTCATAGGTCACACCTCTTATACCCTATTCTACGTTGTGATTGGTTAAAAGTTTTGTCACTCTTTTCTTTGCTGCTATGGAGATAGTAAAGAAAGATTATGCAAAATACGAAGCCTCCTGTCATGTGATAAAATTAAGATTGTGCATAGGAGGATCATGATGATCTAAGTTAAGTAGTAAGTAAAAGACTAGAACTCATTTTTGGGGTTTCCCCTTTTTCCTTGTTTTCCCTTTCTTTCCTTTTATTTATTTTGATGGATAGATTAGGGAAAGATAGAGACACAGAGAGGGTCAGATAGGGTCAGGAGGTATGGATTTGATAGGGAAAGGAGTAGGGAATCTTTTTGTCACCGGCATAAAGGCAGGGTTAGGGTAACGTGAGGGGTGAGTTAGGACCAGATAGAGGTTGTTCCTATATACAGTTAGATCCATCCCCTAGTTTTTCTGCCTACTATATATTCGCTATACACCATTTAGTTATCTGATCCCCCCCCTTTTGTGTTTAGTATTAATTTATTAAGTATTACAAAATTGAAAAGAAGTGTGTTCTACAAAATGTAAAATTGTGTAATATGTGCAAATGCTTTGCCAATGTAATTTCTACTTAGAAATTATTTTCTTTTAATTAAGAAGGTGTAAAAAAAAGCTTATTATGTTTGGATATTTCTCTAAACATTATCCACTTTCTATTGCAAAAATAGCATGCTGAATATTCAATAGCAATAATAATAACTGGCTTGTAACTTACTCCTGAATTGGAGCTGGTTGGTTGTTCAAACCAGATATATCAGAAAAAATGCCCAGATGCCACATGCAGCAATAACAAAATTCAGTAAGCAGCTCAATACAAACTGCTAATGCAGTCAATGCTGAGAACTCTGAGAGTGGGTAAAAGCTTAGAGAAACTCAATAGCTTGCCCTTCCGTTAGTCCCAACTCAGTTCTCAAAATAGTTATGGCTCACCTGTACCATTACAGAGAGAATCTATGACATTTGCACACCAGACTGATTCCGCCCATAAGGGCAATCTAGATCCAAAATGCTGGCAGGTTCTCTCTGCATAAGAGAGAATGTTAGGCAATGTATCAAATCTATCAAACCTATGAACACATTGTACATATTAGCAGTACCAAATTGTACACATTGTACACATTAGCAGTAACACATTTCTAGATATGTAAAAGAGATAAAAAAGATGTAAAAGGAGCATCATAAGTTTTTATCCTGAGTCTCCCCAAGCTATAGAGCTTTGGGGAGATTCAGTTCAGCTTCCAATGTGCATAGAGGATGAAAAAAAACAGATAGAAAACAGTAGACATGGAGATTCATTTCTATTCCCAGTACAATACATAGGACGTAGTTAACTTAGACTAGAAGAAAGGAGATTTAGTCTAAGGCAAAGGAAAAACATTTTTTACAGTAAGATCAATAAGGATGTAGAATTCTTTGCCTGGATAGATGGTTTTATCAGAGTCTATACCAATGTTTAAACAGCAACTAGATGAATACTTGCAAAAACATAATATTCAGGGATGTAATTTTTAATATGTGGAGTAACAGCTTCTTGATTCAAGGAGAGATCTGACTGCCATTCTGGGGCCAACAAGGATTTTCCCATAGTTTTCTGCAAAATAGGAAAGTGCTTCAAATAGTTTTTTGGTTTTTTTTGCTTCTTTTGAATCAACAGATGTGAGAGAGGCTGAACTTGATGGACATATGTCTCTTTTCAGTCTGTGTAACAGTTTGTAACTCTGTAACTGTAGACTCTGACTCAATTTGACTGCTCAAACAGATGTAAAAAATTAAAATGTTTATAACAGCACCCCCAGGCATAAAAGGGTTAAAATGCCGTTTAGAGGATATTCCCTTCCAGATATACAGGCAGCTACTGCAGAACACCAATCTCCCGAACTGGAAACACACAAATGTTTCAAACTCCCCAACTGGAACCATACAAATACTGCAAACAGGCAAACAGGAAAATCCATATGAACAGTTTACACTCCTGGCAATCAGTCTGAAGCAGCATACAGTAAATCCCCCCAAGAACGAGACAAGGCTCCGTGATGAGGGTCAAGCAGTGGTCTGGTTTAATGAGGGCTACCTGCCCTGTATTTATGCAGGTCTGCCACCTGGTGGACACTCCCCTAGGGGACCAGATGGAAGACTGTGACCAAAAGGATACAGTAGCCAATCACATACATACACAGTCAAACACTCCCACAATGACATCACAATCCCTCCTCTCTACCCTGGAGATAATTGGGAAGCAATCCAATTATCTCCAATGACAGAGGCAAAAATCCATTAACCCCTTAAGGACCAAACTTCTGGAATAAAAGGGAATCATGACATGTCACACATGTCGTGTGTCCTTAAAAGGTTAAGCACATGGCAGTAAAAAGACAGTAAAAGACATAAAAATACATAATATAAAAACTACTGAATGAAATATGTATGTTCAACCTATCCCCAGATAGCTTAGATCTGAGCGCACATTATTACCAAATGGCGCTCAGATCACATACATACAGTTCAATCGCCATGGAGCCAAAGTCTTTCCCATAGTTTTCTGCAAAATAGGAAAGTGCTTCAAATAGTTTTTTGTTTTTTTTTTGCTTCTTTTGAATCAACAGATGTGAGAGAGGCTGAACTTGATGGGCATATGTCCAAATAGGCTCCATGGCATGGCTATCTGGGGTAATGCTGTTCATACGGTTAAACTACCGAATGAACAGGCATTCAGTGAAATGTCTGAATGCAGAAGCAAGGTGGCTGATGGCTCAGCAGTGTTCGCGCAAATAAGTGTCCGTTTCCAGTTCCATAGTTTGGGTGCTGAACACCGCTGGCCGTTCAGGACTATAAAATGGCCGCCGCCACGTGTGAGCTACATGAACAGCGACCTCCCAGTGTTCACCAATTAAGCTGTGGTTAACCGCAGCTTCTGGGAGGTCAATTGATAGCACATTCTAGTTCCCAGGTGGTCGATCGTTCGGTAGTTTGTTCGGTAGATTCAATCTACCGAATGCCCATGCAGAAAGGCATGGACAAGCCTTTCTGCAGGGGAAAATCAAGTGTTTTAACTTTGGTCCATAGTCTAAAGGGAGCAGGCGAGCAACCAGGCTTCTCCAATGCCCAGTGACGAGGTTGGTTTCGCCACAATGTTAAATTAGAAAATAAAACAAGAAATCTTCCCATTATATACAGATAAAAAAATAATAATCAGATTACATCTAATGAAATATAAGAGTGAACATTTGATTACAGTTGTCCTTAACAACCTACAGCAATATATAAATAAAGCCAAAATGGAGAAGCCATATGTAAAAAAAGTACTGCTTCCATAGGAATTAAGAAACTAAGTAGCAGACAGATGCTGCTAATCAAATGTCCTTGATTAATTGATCATCAGCAAGAGTAACCACATCTACATAGGCCAAAGTTTTAGCAATTTGCTGGTCTTCTCAATTGTTAACAATTATTTTAGCAATGATCCTAAAGAATAATTGTTGCTGTCTACACAACTGGGTAGGGTTGTAAGGCCACTTCCAAACAATTTCCAAACTGTATATAGCAATATTGTCTGCATGACCTGATAGTGGCCTTGTGTAGAAATGAGCACTACAAATTAACATAACAGCAAAAGACAGAGCAAAAAGCAGCGATAAACATTCTAACAATGGCATCACCCCATTAACGATGAAGGATGTGCTATACCATCCTACAAAAGGTGGGTTTTAACATAACAAATATGCACCCATGCTACTAAAACGCGATCAGGGGGACTGCCTGGCAGCCAAGGATGACCATCCGTGTTAAATGACCGTGATGACACATGACTCAGATAGGCATGACTGACAGGTTGCCTACAGGGGGACTGCCTGGGTTGTCAGGCAGATACCGCAACTTAGAATTAATAAAAATAATGTAAGTATACATACATATTAAAAACAATATATTTGGAATCATATTTTTTTCTAAGTGTATTTTGATATTAATACA